ACTGCTAAGTATCATTAACTTGCATTCTCTGCCAGATGCTCGAACATATAGTATGCTCTAACATAATGTGTCATCTACTGGGCTAGATCATTATACAAATGTAATATCATCAACGAAAAACAACATACTTTTTGACAATATCACAGTTGCGAAACACAACTATGTTCTGTCCTTGATGATTTGGCCAAAAACATCGATAAAAAACACCGCAAACAGATATATTTATATTAGATTTTGAAAAAGCCTTCGACACACAGCCCCACACGAACAACTTAAATCGAAATAAAACAGTAACGGGGTATTAGATAAAACACTATGTTGGATTGACTCATTCCTATGCTACCACAAGCAAAGGGTCATGGTCAATTGGACAAAATCAAACTGGTCCCCCATTGATTCAGGAGTACCTCATTACACTGTCTTTGGTTCTGTGTTATTTAGTCTACATGTCAATGATATATTGGATAATCGGGTGCTTGGCCAGTAGAAACACCCAAACGATCAGATGCAAAGAATGATATAAAGGATTGTTTTCGTCATGAATAAAAAAAAATTTAAAAAAAGGAATAATGATTTTTTAGTTATCTTGACAAAGCACTGCTTTAAAACTAGTTATATAAAATGAGAAACTTTCAAATTTAAAAATTCCTTTAGTATGAATGAATATTGATACATATCGATGTTAATGTTTTCAATAATAGTAATGCTTAAAATATCATACTGAATGAGTGACAGTATTATTATAATATAACGTTTACGGCTTCTTGAATTGGACTGAATTATCAGAGAAGAGTTAAGTTAAAGCACTGTGGACAAGTTGATTTTTAGAAATCCTAGGACATGAATACGGCTAGCTTGAAAAGAGTACTGTGTAAATCGTATATTTCAATGTACTGTTTTTCCGCCAGTTTTTTTTTTCATACCAATTCGTATTTATTGACCTTAAAATCTAGAATAGCATATGGTAATGCTTCTCCGACGCTATTACCAACAACGTACTTCAGTATTGTAATCGGTTGAGAAAGGCTCTGTATAGTGAGTGATTTTGTCAAGTGTTACATAAAAATATTTTAGTTCTAATAGTTTTTTACGTCTAGTTCCAAGGTTTCCATATCTGTTGTTGTCCATAGTTGATTGTCCCATCGGATTTCTCTTACGTTTTTTACTCTATAATACAAGAAAAGATAGCAGGACAATCAACAATGCAGAACAACACAACAAGATACACCACATCACTAGTTCTAATTCTACGCAACTACAAAAGAAACAAAGAAAAAACGATGGAAAGCATTTCCCAAAAGAAATGAATTACTCCACACCCTATCTAAAATCCGGGCGAATGTCCATCATTTTAGGCCATATGTAGGTTTGTTTTGTGTTGTTGGGTTACTGTCTTATTGGCGTTTAGCCCATATCTCTTTTTATTCATTTTTTTTTGGGGGGTGGGGTGGGGGGTGGGTCAGAAAAGTCAAACAGACTATAGTGAATCGCATGAATGTCGTACGTTCATGGTCTTAAGTGCAAAAGTAAAAAATAAAATAAATGAACTAATGAAACAGTTGCAAGTGGTTTACGCAGTTAAGTAACGAACAAGTTAAGTAACGAACAATATGCATGCCCTTATTAAATATGTTAAACATAGGCTCATCATCTCCCTCCATTTATTTCAATACTTTGTGCGTTCAAATCTTTTCTCTTAAGTTTATCTCTCTGTTTTTCTATCTTGTAAACATGTGATATATTGTATACAACATGCCTATGAAAATAAATAACGAAAAAGAAAAGATGTAGATACTTTCTGTTTCCGTTTTCCGTTTCCGCCTTTTAGCAACACCCTTCACCATCACTATATACCTCTACTTTACTATGAAAGCGGTGGTATATGTATATTGATTTTTATACTAAAAATTGGTCATTTCATTAAAAATTTCACTGTTTCACGTGAAATTAATGCACAGTTACAATACATATCAGTGGACAAAACCTTTTAAACTACTTTTACAAGGCGAACAGGATAGTCGAACTGTAGCCAGTAAACAATATTTTTATAATCTGAGCATGCAAATTGGAGACTATGCTATATACATGTATTTTACATTTAATACATTGTCTGATTAAAAATATTTATTATGAGCTAGAGTCCCAGACACTACTAGTATATAAATTGACAGTTTTCCCACTAATTCCACGTGTTTTCAAGTGGTAGTAAACTCGTAGTAGCCCACACTACATTGTAGTTCATTTTTTCAAGGCCATGTTTACCCTCTATTTAGGAAATTACTATCCAAATATATCCTGACCTGTTGAATGACCTTCCATGCATAACCAACTATTATGTAATAGCGTCTCGTTTAATAAGAAGTTTAGTGAGATCAACATGGAAAACAGCAAACGGAACAATTTATCATCGACAACTAAGCATATCGACGAGACTACAAACAATTATTGGAAGTCCACATCCAGACCTCGACATCAGATAAAAAGTCACTACCAGAATATCTCTTTTCAAAGCTAGACGAACACTCACATAGGACAGCGCTAGTAAGTATATCAGTGGTAGAATATAACGAACAAAATACGTCAAATCAAAGCAAATGTATAGAAGCGGGGAAAGATCTTGTTCTACGTGAAAATACAGATGCATACAAACTGAGGGTGCATAAAATGTTCCGAAAGACGCTATCAGAAATTATTTGTCGTTTGCTATTTTTAATATAATTGAAAGTAAACAGGATGTACAATTACTGCTTTTCTGCCTCAATAATTTTGTTTTGTCTAAAAAGGGTGGTAATTTTGCAAATAAAAATACAGTTTTATGATGCATTGTATATTACAGACAAACATATTCTATACATGCAAGCATAGTTAGTGTATTTCAAAATCTTTGATGAAGTGTATAATGTAATGAAGGGATTTCACGAGATTTAATAAAATGTTTGCATTTTGTAAGTCGACCGAAATACATCGAATTAAAGGAGGATTAATACATTTAAATATCGATAACATTATCAAATGCATTTGGTTACTAAAAACTTATAAATTTTGTTTGCGTTACAAACAGGAAATAAATTCAGCGATGTTTTAAGTGCATGTTTAGGTTGTTATGAGTAGGTCTATAATGCAGTCATAGCAGATTAAAGTATTTCCCCTTAACAAACTTATATAATGTAGTTTAGATAGAGATTATTGGTGTAAATAAAGATGTGTCGAGCTTTTAAATCAGTATTTCTATTTTGATCACTACTGGTGGATCCATAAAATTAATCTTATTCAATTTAACAGGAAAAAATGATCATTATCTCATTGTTGAAGACCATAAGGTGATATTTTGTTGCTTAAATCCACGTCATTGCCCCCGCTAACATTACCCTTGTAACAGAAATGCTTATGCAAAAACTTGTCATTTATTATTGATCTAACACAAGTCATAACTAAAAAGGATAGCACCAAGAACATTTGAGCGAGAGGTGGGAGGTATGACTCTTAATTCAAAAAAAAAAAATGCTCCTGGTATAACAAAAATTACAGAGGAAACATTTTTACAAATAATATGAGACTGGTTATGACTCTTATTTCTAAAAATTGCCAAGGCGTCAAATAATTTGAGAGGAAGCTACCTGAGATCAACAATCATTTAGTAAAGCCACTATACTTGTCCATTTCATTATCAACAAATAAAAAGTTAAAGAATAATTGTATTTAAAATCAATAATTAAATATATAGTGAAATTGTAGGTAGATTTTGAGAGTGGGAGATCTTTTACATATAGCCATGTTAAAGAGTATGCTGTTAGGATTGCTAGTGCTCTAAGAAAGCTTGGTTACAAAAAAGGAGATATTGTTGCAATACATGCTACAAACAGTCCAGAATATGCTATATTACTGCTTGCCCTGCCTGCTGCTGGAATCACCATTACAGCATCGAATTCCTCTTTCACAGCTGGTAGGTTACAGTAGAAATGTCAATTAACGTTTGGCAATTAAACCATTGAAAAAAGTAAATGTTAAGTTCGAAACATTTTGATAAAAAAGTAAAATAACAAAAATACCGAACTCCGAGGAAAATTCTAAACTGAAAGTCCCTCAGCAAATGCCAAAATCAAAAGCTCAAACGCATTAAACGAATGGATAACAATTGTCATATTCCTGACTTGGTACAGGCATTTTCTTATATAGAAAATGGTGTATTAAACCTGGTTTTATAGCTAGCTAAACCTCTCACTTGTATAACAGTCGCATAAAATTCCATTATATTGACAATGATGTGGGAACAAAACAAACAGACATAATAGGTAAAAATGTCAAAAATAGGGGTCCAGTAGTCAACATTGTGTTATAATCTTAATCACTACAAAAACAAACAAATATGTCAACAAAGACAAACAAAAAAGGCATATAGACAAAGCACAATAGCAAAAACGAAAGACAAGAATACAAACATTTACCATAGCACAACAACACAACGACGGGATGTACAAGTACCGAGCCACGTCAAATGAATCACTACAAAAACAAGCAAATATGTCAACAAAGACAAACAGAAAGGCATATAGACAAAGCACATTAGCAAAAACGAAAGACAAGAATACAAACATTTACCATAGCACAACAACACAACGACGGGATGTACAAATACCGAGCCACGTCAAATGAATCACTACAAAAACAAGCAAATATGTCAACAAAGACAAACAAAAAGGTATAAAGACAAAGCACATTAGCAAAAACGAAAGACAAGAGAATACAAACATTTACCATAGCACAACAACACAATGACGGGATGTACAAGTACCAAACCACGTCAAATGGATACTACCAAAAATAGGCTAAACATTAAAAGTAATAAATTACAAAGACAAATAAAAGAATACTATAACACGTTATTAAGATGATAAACAACGTCAGTACCTTGAATCTATACTATATACTATCCATCCTGTATTATTTGTGAAGTTGATATGGAATATTTATCAACAAGGTCTTGGTATCTTCCGATGAACTTTTTTAGAAAAGGTCGAGACGTTCTTTGACATACACTTGGTTGATCAACTTTCTGCTCAGACCCTGGTGACGTTTTACAAAGTCTGAGTAGCAGCTGCAAGCTCTTGAATACCGAAGGAGTTGGGAAATGTATATCCCATACGCAGGTGAAGTTGGTATATTGCTTCTAAGATGATAAGATCATCTTTAAGAGTATAAAAAAGGCATGATACATTTTGATAAGATGACCTTATATGGATATAAAGAAGGGACATTATAACTTGACAATCCATATGCATATTTTTCATGTGAAAAACTTTTCTTTCAGCGTTTAAGACAATTAGATATGTCTTCATTTTAGGAATTCTTTTTTGACATGAGAAGGTAAATTATCGCAGATTGCACCTCATACATGTACGTATTTATAGAAAATCATACAGTAATCTACTGTGAATTTTTTATCAAAGGCCTGAAATATCGCATACACAAGTCTATCAACCTGACTATGCGGTATGGCTTTGTCTCATTGTTGAAGGCCTTTATTGAAAAAAAAAATAAACACAATTTCCTTGTTGTAGTTTTTGAATGTTTTCTAGGTTTGAATCAGTCGATAAGTTAGATAAAATGTTTTAATGATTTACGCAAATAATTCATTTGTTTACCACTTATTGAAGAGGATCTTGCCAGAAATTTAGATTTAACAGAAGCCACATGCGTCGTGACGACACCAACACTTTTACCTGTAGTGACGGAGGCATTAATATCCAACTTTAAAATACAAACCAATATCAAGGTATGGCAAGTTAAAAACATTGTTTTTCTGTTTTATATATCTTATATATCTCTTTTATGTATAGATGTGTGGGTGTGTTTATGGTGTTGTTTTTCTTTATTCGAAAATATCATTATAGGCGAGGGTGTATAGTGACTGCTGTGTCCGTTCAAAAGTGAAATCATTCGTATTTTCCCCTGTCCTGTCTTATCTTTGTCTTTTCAACAGAAAATCAATTCCAATTTTTATGTTTCTTTTGTAAGTCTGGTTGGATATTGTGCTATGTCTAATCGTTTGTGGTATAAATTCTGTACTTTCGGTACATTTCACATATGTCTTATTTGTCAGTATAGTCGAGTTACTCGTGGTTCGTCTACTGTGTTTTTGTTTTATGTTGTTTGTTTTCAAGTGTGTTTACTGTTTGGTCTTACATCATCTTGCCTTATATTACATTTATTTTATTTTATGTTTGTAAAAGATAAGATAATAAATCAGCTATTTCATTATTATGATTTTAAGTTTAAAGCTACTATATGCACAGGATTTTTTTTTGTTTATACACAGTTTTGAATAATAAGAAAAACCGACATGTTTAGAAAATACAAATAATCAGACCATTACAAACACAATTCCATTTTAATATTCTTGTCATAGTTAGAAAAAACATAAAATAACACTCAATCCCAATTTTATACGTGTCTACAATAACACAAATCTACTCTATTTTTAGAAATTTACCTGTGATAATACAAACGTCACCAAAAATACGTCACTTTTTGTAGCGTCGATACATTCGTGTGACGCACAGTTTATACTTCGTTTGTGGTGTACTGGTGTACTGTCGTAAATTCATGGGAGTTGTCCGTTGTTATTCTGTGGTTTACATGTTGTAATGTACTATTTTATTATTTATCTATGTATTTCTCTGTCCTGGGAGTTCTTGCGTTTATTTTTTACTGTTTTTCTGTCATGTAATGTTGTCATTTTAGCGGTATTTTTAACATTGCCCTATAATAGGGAGGTTTGGCTAGCCATAAAACCAAGTTCAACCCACTATTGTTTCCTTTAAATGTCCTGTACCAAGTCAGGAATATGACAGTTGTTATCAAATAGTCCGTTTCTATGTATGTTGGCGTTTGTTTTTGTTGCAATTTAGTGTTTAATTTGTTCCGTTGTTTTCCTCTTACGGTTGATGTTTTTCCCTTGGTTTTAGTTTATACCCGGATTTGTTTTCGCTTAATCGATTTATGACTATTGAACAGCGGTATACTAATGTTGCCTTTATTTAAAAAAAACATTTCACTCGTTAATTTATTTTTAAGTGTTGCATATAAAAGGAAACAACTTGAAGTAATTCAAACATATTCTCTAAGAAAATATTTGGTTGCTAGATCATTATCTATCGTTTTATGTCGCATATTTGTTAATCCGCTGGTGTTATTCATCAATATCAATCTGTCATACAATCAAAATGGCAAAATAGAGAGTTCCAATGTACTTCAACTTGGGTTAGCATCTCTTAGATGGCTGCATAACCACTAAGATCAAACTTTAACTGGGTTTTAACATATCCAATGAATTGTTCAAATGTGGTTCAGAGGGAACATATCTCTGATTATAACACATTTTCTCTATTGAAATAGGCATAAAATTATATTTAGCCGCAGACGACATACATGCATCTTCCATGGACAAATAGTATATAAATATATATAAAAGCAGATGATGGATGGTATACATCCATAAGACAGCAATCGACTGACACTAAAACATCAAACGATATCTCCAGTTTTGCTCAAATGATTTTGATCAGTCAATAGGTTAACGTTACTACAAGTAAACATGACAAGAGTCTTATCTCATAATGCATTTGATATTCAGGGGGAAGGAAACTACACGTAATTATAATGAATATGGAAAAAATGCAGTGTTTTCTAATACAGGATATCATCACTCTGGGTGACGTGTCAGGTAATAAATCTATAAAAACGTTAATGGAAGATGATGGCAGTGCTTTCCCAGAAGATCAACAAGTTGATTGTGAAAACGACATCGTTGTCCTGCCATTTTCCAATGGCACTACATGATTTCCCAAGGCGGTTATGTTGAATTATCGGTGTATGGTTGCAAACCTTCAACAATTAAGGTTTATATAAGTTTAATTCTTCTGTTGATGTATTAACACGAGATTGTTTTCATACATCGATTCACGGGTCCTTACTTTCTAACGCCTTACTATATATTCAATGTATACTTTCTATACCAAAAAAGGTACATGCGTCAAGGTTAAAATATGTAGCATACAGTTGTTGCTCTCATATTTCCGGTGAGAGTTATGATCGCGAAGACAAAATGCATAACTAATTTCCAATATATGAATTTGAATGCATTCAAGATTTTTATTTTAGTTTGACTACCACATGTCAAGATAAGATTCATTTTACATCTTACTGATGAAGGATATTAGTTATCCGAAATATCTGAAATTTGTTCATGATTTAATTATTTTTTGGTGATGTTGTACCCTTTTAGACTTGTTATATATTATATTTTTAATGTTGTAGATTCTGTACTAAGGCGATTTAACGACACTTTCACATTATTATAGCAGTTATACACTGACAACGACTCCAGACGATAGCTTCATCGCAGTTCTCCCATTCTTCCATGCAACCGGCATGTCTGTCATAACATACTATGCTTTTGCTGGTGGTAATAAATTGGTGACAATTCCTAGATTTGATCCAGGATTATTTCTAGAAGCAATTCAAAATGAAAAGGTATAGCAGATATATTATTATTTTAACATGTTAAGATACACTTTAAACATACAAATTTCCAAATACCTGAAAAACTATTTCACATAGAACGTGTTCACCAAAGATACATGTATATCAGTTTTAACATCGCCGGTTTGTTTTAAACGTGTTGACCATTTATAATTTGACTACATACAATTGGTAATTAACAATTTAAACCAAAATCTTTTTGAAAGACCACTTAGATTACCTTTAGGCAATTGAGTTTCTAAGTTGCTAACTTTCAATTGTCCATATGGAAGAAAGAAGATGTGAGATGAAAGAAACAGTTCAACAAAAACCTTGATCGACATACATATCCAGGAGACATCTACATGCTTATCAAATAACAAGGCAAATCACGAACATTAAGTGATTTCTTATCCTATTACTAGTATTTATACGTCGCTTTTTGTGTTTGTTTAGATATCATTTCTCCATTTGGTACCACCAATGGCGGTTTTTATGGTTAAACATTCAATGGTGAATGATTTCAACTTATCTGGAGTTCAAAGAGCCCTATGTGGTGCTGCACCCCTTGGAGAAACTGTTCATGAAGAGTTTATATCAAGGTTAAATATAAATTTATGTCAAGGTAATCAAATTTAAGAACATGTAAAGAAATTATTTGTTTAAATATTTTGTATTATATTATTTCCCAATATCTCTTTGAGAATGTTTGTCCAATATAGACTAAAACAGTACCTGTTTGTCTGTTCTTAATGGTCAGATTGTTTTAGAAAACAAGAAACATTGTTTAAAGAATGAAATAAACAGGATGTTTTACCAGAATTACAATGTAGTATGAGTCCTAATCTTATGTTACAATCGCGTTTAACATCAGATGTCAATCAAACTCAACATTCCAAGGAAAACTTTTTTCCGTAGTAAAAAATACTTAATCAGAGTGAAACCTTAAATGACGAAGACAACTATGATGACAATGACGACCACGACGACGACAACGATGATGATGACAATGACAACGATGAAACGGTGATATTGATGACAATGACAATAATGATAAAAATGACGACCACGACGACGACAACGATGAAACGGTGATATTGATGACGATGACAACAACGACGATGATGATGACCATGATGACGATGACGATATTGACGACGATGACGATGATGACGACGACGATGTTGATGATGATGACGACGATTAGGATGATGATGACGACGACAATAATGATGCGGAGGATGATGATGATGATGATGATGATGATGATGATGATGATGATGATGATGATGATGATGATGATGATGATGATGATGATGATGATGATGATGATGATGATGATGATGATGATGATTGATGACGATGACGACGATGACGATGATGATGATGAAGATGACGACGATGATGACGATGATGATGATTATTTTAGGTTAAGGCATGACATAATTTGGTCCAGCTGGCATTTGTGATGCTATTCCAGCAAACATTGGCACAGTACGAAAACCAGTTCCAAATACTTTATGCAAGGTAACGTTATTTATTTTAATTATAAATACTTTTAGTAATTAAGTAAAACAGAATTGAGTTGATATTGGTTTGAACAATGACATTCTTACTTTTCTCTTTATATGTTTTGTATACAAAACTGACCAGGGGTTCTAATACAATAGTGCATACATATATTAATTATATATTTATTATATATGGTTTGCTCATTGTTGACGGTCTTAAGTCGACGAGTTCTAGTAGTTGTGTACATTATAAAAATAAGGAGATGTGTTATGATTACCAATGAGACGACTATCCAACAAGTTCAAATGAGGTTGATGTAAGCAATTGTAGCCATACTTGTCTTAGTTGTATAGTTTTATCATTGGTAATCTAACCACATCTTTGTTTATTATTCTATTTAGTTTGTTTTACAGAAGTTGTATTCCTTTTTCCGAGGTAAATTGTTTCTTATCGGTTTCCTTTTTTTTTTAAACAGATATAAATGAACATAAAATATTCCATTTTTGCGAGGTGACTTCTTGTTTCAGTGTACGAGAAAGAAACGACGAGAGACAAGAACACTTTTGTTTAACCAGAAAATATCTTAGCATTGCTCTTACCCTTCAATGTGATACAGTTTGCCGAATTTTTTCACGATATCGTTTTGAACATTTTACCTGGAATCAACATTTTTAGACTGAAACCATATAGCCAGACGTGAGTGAGAAAGAGAGAGGTCAACTTTGAGATGAGGAATTGTCT